CACTCCAATTTATACTTCGTGCAGGTAGGCCTCCTCTCCCTCACTGATACTTCCCTCACCCCCATCAGCGCCTGAACACAACCGGGTAACTCTCAATCCCAGCAGTTAGCCTCACACTACTTCACTCAACAAGTCAAGCAAAGTTGACATAAACATTCCGCTGGAGTACGACCAGAACGCTGCGCTACAGAGGCGGGCTACGCTCCCTGATCGAGTAAACGCAGTCCGTCAGCCTTCCTGCTAATGTGCAGCTACAAGCAACATGAGGCAGGTGCTCCAGGCCCGCGGCCTTGCTTCTCTCCGACTACGACCGGTAGGCGAGCAGAATCAAGAGAAATCTCCTCGAGAGCGGGGGGCCAGGCACTTGAGTGCGTATCCCCGTCCACCCCGTCCCTCTGCAGCCCGGTCGGCCTTCGCTGCTATAACGGGCAAGGTCGAATGAATCTCCCGCTAGAACGCGAGAAGATACATTGCCAATTCGAAGTGCCCCGAACTCCCCGACTTCACCCCTTTCTCCGACTTGTTTCCCTCTGCTGTCCCCGAACGCAGCCCCTGTCTGTAACTCAAAACCGAGTCTCTCGTAGGGGTACGACCAGGCACACCGGTCCGCCATCTACTACGAGGGCGTGCATAGGGAGGCGCCCCACCATCGTGAACTTATCTCTGCGAGTTGCCATAAGGTAAGTACGTCCTACCCTCCCCCTTTCTCTACACATCCGTCTACTACAGAGGGCCGTGCCTCGCTCGAGTTCGTACCAGAAAGAGCAAGACGAAAAAACGAATGGATCTTCCGTTAAAGTGCGGGAAGATTCATCACCATTTGTAGAAATCTTCCTTGGTGCAGCCCAAAGTTATTATAGCCCCGAAACCGTAACTCTAATGCCAAATCTGACTTCACAGACCGATTCACGAGGTCAAAAACTCTCGGAATCGAATCTTTACTCGCCCAATTTCGTGAAAGAACGGTCGGGTTATTTATCCTTCCACTGCGCCATGCTCACTCGTTTGTCCCCTCCGCGCAGTATATTTTTTTTCTAACTCCTATTCCACTACTCAATAGCCAGAACTAACATTCCTGCCGGATTCGCCCTATTGAGAAACCCCAAAAATCGAACTTTACTTCGACAAGATCGGTCAAAAAACGACCGAACTATCGCACCTTCTTCCTCCATTCCTTTCTATTCGCCATAGCTCCACGCAGTCTAATTCTTCTTTATCTCGTCCTACACTAATCCTTCTTCAAAACTAACTTCATTTTCAGATTCGTCTGGGGTTAAAATCCCGGGATAGCGTCTTGCCCTTCCTGTTTCTACTATGGATCGAAAGATCCGCGTCTCCCTGGCTGCGCCCTGTCCATTCTTCTCACCTCCTATCATTTGCACCCATGCGAATGAATCGGGACGCAGATAGCGTCCGAGTGCATTCTCCCTCTGCAGCTTGTCTACTCCCACTCACTGCCTAGCGCCTCGCTTGCCGCCTCGCTTGCTAGTCGTCCGCAGTCTCTCTCCTGCTTCCTTACTGCTGACAATGCACTGCCTTGCCATCCACCATTACTATCTCCGAATGCACCCGACGCCTACCACCGTCCGGATTCGTCTCCTCTTTCTCCCGACTAACACCGCCTAGCGCCACTCCCCCACCGCGGCCGACTGCTCAGCGCCCGGCCCACAGCCGCCTGCTGCTAACGCAGCTCCCCACATCCTTAACGCTCCGAAGTGGACACCACAACGTTGTCGAACGATATAGGCAGTAGAAGGCGGTTGTAGGAAACGAGGTCCGATCTGCAGAATCTTCGGAAGGAACCAGCCACTAGACGGTTCGATTGGTCTTTTGCCCCTATATTCAAGCCTGACGAGATGATTTGCACATCAGTATCGCTGCGAGCTTCCCCCTCGCTGACTCGTCGCAGTCCCTGCTAACTCTCTATCTCACCTAACCATGCTATATGCTGCATACACCCGGTTGTGCGCCACGCCCGGGTTCACTTTCTTAACTTTGCTCGTTCCGCCCCCCCTTGCCCCGTAGCGGCCTGTTACGGTCAGCACAGGGTTCAATAGCACAACGGTCCGGCCTTGGCTCGCCCTCCTGTTCCTGCCAGCCCACCGACCTTGCCCTTTTGTCACTGCGTGGTCCGACAGCGTCCAAATGCCGAAGGAAGCAATCGGTTGTCGGTCCCAGCCAGCTTATGCCTATCGTTCTTGCGCAGGGGCCATGCTAATCTTCTCTGTATCGTTCCAATTTTAACGGATGTCCCTAAGGACCTCCACTGTGGCATTGCCCCACGGCCCTTCCGAACTCAAACACCCTCAGGCCAATTCAAAATAACTGGTCCTATTCATCGAGTTCCATCATCTGGGCTCAAATACAGGTCTGTAGTTCAACAGTTCAATGGTGTACCCGCTGAGATGGACCTTTGAGTGCCGGCTGCGCCCACGGCGCTGCGTCCTAAGACAAGATGAGGCGCGAGTTCGACGCAGCCACAAAAACAATTTGTAATTGCACTTCATGCAACCCCCCCCCCCGCGAATGCAACACTCCCTATGTGACTTTATCGCAGCCTCGTGTCCCTGAAGTGGTGAGGATCAGCGGGGCTGCTCATACCTTACCAGTCCCGAAGGGCAGGCCCGCCGCCGCTCTCGCCAGCAAAAATCCGAGGGAGAAAGCTCCGTCGGGCCCTCAACCCCTCGGTCTCCTCCGTGCGGCTTTGCTGCATTCGGGCCGACGCCCGCCAGCCTCGATCCCCGAACCTCCGTAGTAATAGTCCGATGTCATAACCTTAATGGCTAAGCCCAAGCCTGGGGCTGAGTCCCGCAGAATACCATATAGGCAGTGCGGCGCGACGCTTTTGGGCCAACGAAATGGCTGCGCGGCTCCCATTTGCCCGCGCCGGTTTGCTTATACCATGCCATAACTACCCCGCACGCCATCCTACGACACCCCGCTTACCGCACGAAATCGCGCCGTTATTGTCGATGCCGTCGTCGGGGTCGTTTCTCCGCACACGAGCTTGACCTACTAATCAAAAAGAAAATATTCTTAATCCCTGCTTAATAAAAAATTATAATATCACCAAACGAAACGACCGAGGTCTGGACCGGCTTTACGATTAAATAACAGAAAAAGAATCACGTGCGCCTTACGCACTCGCTATTGCGGTCAACCACCCAGTCAAAGCAATTACTGACGCAACTGTGCTTAGCGGGGTATACTTAAATTCTAAACCAAAACTATTTTCTGTCACTTGCGAAAATCAGGGCGGATACCCTTGTAAGCGTATTCGCACCTACAGCTTACGGAACCATATTAAGCGACATCCCCGTCGCTTCGCCAAATCAGAAGACTATAAATCCATCCACACTCCAAATTCTGACGGGACAGGAGCCAATCCGATTAGCCGACAAACACAGGGTAGAGACCTCCATCAAACCATGCCTTCATAACTATATGCTGCCAGGTTTCTAACCTGGGCCTCACACCGTCCAGAAATTAGGACACTGGCAGCATAAGTTTCAAAGACCTTCCCAATCGTCCTCTCCCCGGTCCTAGACAACCTTCGGTTTTTCGTTGGGTGTCCCCAGTCCTGGCAAAACTAGGGACGCGGGCCTTAATTGAGACCTTTTGAAGGCACTCTCGCCTTCCTTCTGAAAATTTTATCGATATCAAATACACGCAAGTATATATGTATACTTAATATTCGCTCAGCTCTTTCTGCAGTCTAGTACAGAAAGGCTAGGTCTCCACCTTGGCCCACCATAGCCTGGCTGATCGGACCAGGACCACGGCTCACCGCATTGTTATTTAACGACAGTACCTTCGTTGGTTACGCAACGATAGGTTTCCTCCTGGTAAGCACTCAATCAGGATCTCCCCCCAAAAATTTTCAACCATCATTATCCAGCAAGTAATTTCACTGGGGCGGGCAACCCCCCTTAGACTCTTACCCCGCGGTCCCGCAACGAGGTTGCGCCGGCTAGCAGCCATCCAATGGGGTTACGCCCTAGAGGTACTAACTTCTGTTCCGTTAGCTTTGCCTTTCTTCAATATGTCCTAGAACTAGCACAGGTGGTTAGACGGGGCGTCACAAAACAAAATCACAGGCCCACTGCGCGATACGTTGGGGTCCGAAAGCATTTACCAGCCCTCCTTCAATAGGCATGACATCGTTCGCACGCTTACAAGCAAAATCACCGCTAAATCCACCAAGCCGTGACCCCTGACTTGATCAGAGCCAGCAGACACCCACCCTGAGACATCTCTCGCCCTGTACTCATTGCGACTTTCTCAAACATTTCAAAAAAAAAGTGACCCTTTCCGTCAGACTTTATCACCCATCAAACAATTCGTCATGCCATAAATCAATTTACTCACTTCTGAGGATGAGTCTTCCAACCAAAAACCACTCCCCTTTTTCAACAATCCAAAAGGGGCTCTCTTCATAAACAAAACACCCCCTCTTCCAAAAATCGCGAGAGGTCTCGCCATAAAACAATATATTCCCTCTTCCAGAAATCACGAGGGTCTCATCATAAACCAAACACCCCCTCTCTCAAAGTCACGAGGGGTTTCGTTACATCACAAAACATCATAAAACATCCCCCCCTTTTCCAAAATCTAAGGGGGTCCCATCATAAAACAGAACATCACTGAGAGACCATCTTATGAGTCCTTATCACAACTTAGATAACTTTCACAGACGGACTGCGCTTCCTCCCCTCATACTCTGCCTTATCAGCTGCCGTGGGCAGGTCGCACAAGTATACCGAGGAGTAGACAGTTTTACTTACAATCATATTCACAATACCCAAGATACGTACATGTCAGATTTGTCTCTTAAAGGCCAGGGCGTAGGCCACCTAAATATGTACATGCCTCATCTAAACCACCCTGACCCTCAAAACCCCAACTCAGTAGAGACACTAGAGTTCAGATCTAGATTAACAGCAATCATCAAAATGTCTTCTAAGTCTAAGAGGGTATCACACAGAACCTAAGTTGATGCCTCACAAAATGCTCGCTCACTTATATAGACAAAACCGGCCCTACCTCCTCAACTCCTCCTGGTTTTGCCTATATAACTGAGCCCTAAGTCCATCTGCGGACTTCTCTACTATCCTACCCTGTCTATCATACATTTTACCCCCTACCTCTGAGATCTTCCCTGCTGCCTTATCCTCAAGAAACTCGAGACAGTCCAAAGCCAGATGCACGTCCCTCTTGCAGTAAAAACATAGTTGATCTGCCTTTCTCTTGAACTTCTTCTTCCTGGGCTGAGGAGGTGGCGATGAAGGAGATCCCACCAAGGTACCGACACCCCCCTGCTGCTCTGTCCCCGGAACCGGTCCACCAGACCCAGATCCAGTAGCCCAAGATCCTAGTCTGCCTCTCAAATCCTCTATCGCTGGGACGTACTCGGGCGTGTCCAACCTCTGAGGCCTCCTCTCGAGTATCGCCCCTGGCACTGCCGTAGGCTGCTCCTCAATCTCCTCTGGTCCATACTCAGGTGTGCCTATCCTCTGGAGTCTGCCCGCGATGACACCCTCCTCCTCAATCCCCATCTCTTTCTCAAGAGGCTCCTCTATACTCTGCTCAGGTGAAAACAAACTCACCTCCTCCTGCATAGTATTCACCGCCTCAAGGAGCACGCCCATGGATTCCTCTACTGAGTCCTGAGCCGGCTCACTGCTAGATGGTGGCAGCCCCTCCTCTACTTCCAAAGGTACGACTGGGCCCGCCGCTGCTACTGGCAGTGTCGCGAGCTCGGTAGGGGCTCTGAACTCGAACGCCTCTCTCTYCGCCTGTCTCTGTGCTCTCGCCTCCTCTGACTCCAGGATAACCCTCCCCATAGGTGGCTCCTGGCGAGGCTCTGTCGCAGATGGCTGTCCTGGCAATCCCTGTCCTGGTTGCCTCTGCTCTCCCTGCCGGCTGCTCCCTGGTCTGTCCACCTTTCCCTGGGTTTGCTGCCTCAGGCTCTCAACGATAGCTGCAGGCTGGCCACCAAAGCCATAAGTTTCTGAATTTCCATCTCCATAGCCTCCAAACGTACTCCATGACTGGCTTCCTTCATTTTCTTCCACGCCAGATCGCCCTCCAATAACAAGTGTCGGTCAAAAGTGGTCTTGGTCAGGAACTTGATTTTACGATCTAACCTTTCTTCCGCCTTCCTGGCCACCCCAAACCTGGCTCTGACTAGCGATGGAAGCTCCTCTCTTCTCTGCTCCCAGAAGTCCCTCCATATCTCAGGGATCTCTGGGGCCCTAGCTGGTGCGCTGGGTGGTTGATCCGGGAGTGCTCCTGCTGCCTCCGATCTCTGCCTCTCCTGCTGCTGCTCCGGGAGCTTCCCCGCTGCCTCCAACCTCTGCCTCTCCTGCCATATCTCATCTATCCGCATGGTTCGTCTCGCCCTCGTTTCTTCAGCCGTCTCTCCAGCTGGCACGCTTTCCCTCGTGCGGAGGTCGACCCTCTCCGGGATTTCTGCTTCCATCTCCTTCTCGGGCTAGCATGACTCCTGGCGTGGCTCTGCAGGTGCTGGCTCCTCCAGGGCATGAGCTGCTAGGTGCCTATCAATCAGGATCAAAGCTTCTCTCCTTACAACTGCCCTCTCTCTCCTCCTTTCTGCCCTCCCTTCTGGCGAAGGAGCCTTTTCTGACGAAGGTAAAGGGGTCTCCTCTCTCTGCAACCCCTCCTTTGCTTGCCGGGTGCTCCCTGGTGCATCCCCGAGTCTCAAACCCACTGCTGGCGTCTGTGGGGGCGTGTCCTCTCCAACCTCTATCACTTCCTTCCCTACACGTCTCCCCTCATCGCCCAGCCCTCTCTCTCGCTGAGTACCCCGGACCTCTTCCTGTGGTACCTCCTTTCGTGGCATCTCCTCTCGTGGTATCTCCCCCTGTGGCACCTCCTCTCGTGACACCTCCTCTGCCTGCTCTCCATGCTTCTCACCCTGAAGCGACGCCCTCCACCGAGAAATATCTAAATGCAACTCCAATTCCCTCAAGGGCCCCTCTGACGCTGGTGGCTCCCCCTGTGTGTGTGCTGGCGACCTCCTCAATCCACCCTCAGTAAAACGATGGAACTCCACTAGCCCCAACCCACACTCAGGGTATGCCCCTCGCTCCTCATCCTCTGGCTCCTTCTCTCTCCTGGCGAGGGCCTTCCATCCTCCTCGAGATGGTCTTGCCTCCTTGGGCTCAGGGTCCCTCGGCCTCTGACTCCTCTGTCGCCTCTCGACTCTGGGCTGAGGGAGCTCTGGCCGTCGAAAGGCCTCTCTCAAATGTGCCCTGCAGCTCTCCCAATCTCGTGCCATGTCCCTGATCTGCATAGCCAGTGGCCTTTCCGCCTTCCTGGTCCAGAGTGGTAGCGKCTGCATCCAATCATCTCTCGGTATGCCCTGCTCTTGCATGAACCACTCAAACGCGGGGATGAAGTCCAACGCATTTCCAATCTCCAGGCGGATCGGCCTGCCATCAGGTCCCACAGACGAGGGTCGCAACACCTCCATCCTCATCTCCACCTCCTGCCTCGTCGTCGCCTCCCTACGAATCCTGGCAATGGGCTCTTCGAACCTACCTGCTCCCCTCAATCTCTCAATCGCCTGAGCGACGGTCCAGCCCATACACCTCGCATGCTTCCAGAAACTGTCCAGGAATAGCTCGATGTCCCCATCATTGTAGACTGGAGTACTCTCCCGATGGCGAGGCCCATGCCGCTCATATCCTCCTGATGCGCCCAACGGCCTCTGAGTCGGTTGTGTCCACTTCCCTCCTCTTGGCATGACTGTCTTCGTAAAATCAGACCTGCATAATACGCGAAGGAGACAACAGGCACACATTGGGGTAAGCAAGCAGGTGATAATCAGAGCAAGCTCAGACCAGACCACACTCATGCAGCATGCATCCTTCCTAACCTACACACCCTGTTACTTCTATTCTAAAGGCGGTCAGGTCATCTCTCTTACCTCTTCTCTCGCCACAAATTTCTTCAGTTGCGTTCCAGATACCCAATCCTTTCACTCAGTCTCATTTAACTCCTCGATCTGATACGCTCCGAAGTCTCCGACCCGTGCGATTCGGTAGGGACCTAACCATCTCTTATCGAGCTTCCTGGACCACTGCTTCTCCAGCGATGTATCGTAGAGAAGCATGACATCCCCGACTACCAAGGGTACTCTCCTCACTCGCGCAGACTGATCCCATCGAGCCTTATCATCCATACGGCTTCTTGCCACCTGGTCAGATGCCTCCTGGATCCTTTCTTCTATCGCCCCAACCTGCCGCGCCCGAATATCGAGCAACTCTTTAAATGACAGGTTAACTTCCTGATCCTGGCGCCTCCATGTCTTAAGAAAACTTTCGATAGGGAAGGTGGCATGCCTTCCGTACCACAGCGTCGCAGGTGCGTACTTGATGGATCTCTTTGCTGTAATGTTCTCGACAAAGAAAGCCGCCCTTAGGTATCTTGGCCATTGATTAGGCCTACCTTCGGTCCATTTGGCCAGGAGATTCGTAATGGTACTATGTCCTCTCTCTACGGAAGCATTTGCCTGGGGGTGCGCGGCCGTGGTGTAGTTGGCTGCCACACCATACCTTAATAACAGTTCTTGCACCTCCTGGCAGGTAAACTCTGATCCCCTGTCCATTACGAATTCCCTAACGAAAGGATAACGCAGGTAGTACTCCTCGATGCAGCTCACCAGGACTGACCCTGTCTTTGTGCGAATAGCACGCCCGTCTACGAACCCAGACAGGTTATCGCCCGCATCGAAGATATAGTTATAGCCTTGAACCCCAAGTGGCATAAAAAGTAGATCGAGATGCACTACAGCCCCCACCTCTCGCTCTAGCCTGGGATGCAGCGGCTCTCCTTGCCTTAAACGGGATCTTTCCTGGCAAGGTACGCAAGATCGGCAGAACTTTTCCGACCATATCCATCATCCCATCCCAGTAGTACAGCTCACTTATCTTGGCATACGTGGCTTGTACCCCTCGATGTCCTCCTGCAATACCATCGTGAAGCGCTGCTACGACGTCGATCTGACGATTCTTACCGCAGACGACTCTCCTGGGATTCCCCACTTTCGTTCTCACGAAAAGGTGACCGTCTCGCACTAAGTAGCGCTGTAGCATCCTTTGAGCCCTATCGCTCGCATCTCGAATCCGCATTTCACATGACAGAAGAAGCCCCAGCTCTAGGTAGATCTCGTCGTACTCCTCTGCACGAAAAGCTTCCTTAATTTCCCCTTCTTCGAACTCGTCGTCCTGACTCTCGGGTATTTCGTCCACATTCCCTGTCGGGTTCAACGAGCCTTACTGGTCTAGGCTTTCCTGCAATAACGTATTGACGAGGAGATACATTCCTCCCATCAGGTCCTCATGCCGTTCTACCTGGCTTGGTCCTTCCTCAATCGTCCTCATATCCTCCACCAGGCTATGCGAGCTGGCCAGCGCTAATTCTATCATCCACTGAACATCCTTACCGCCATTCCTCCTTTCATACCCGTTCGGCGCTTGCCAAATAGGATAGCCTACACAGCTGGGCACTCGCGGCGACCACTTATTGATATGGAGATGAACATCTTCTTCCTGATCCAGAAATCCATCAACTGGGGGCGTATTCTCCACCACTTCCCCTTCCTGCTTATCCCAGTTGATCCGACTCAGCCAGTCTGCCCGGTTCTTACTACCAGGAATCCGTTCTAATTTGAAATTGAACATCCAGATGTACGTCAGTCATCTGGCAATCGTTGGATCTGATGGAACGTAATTCCTTAGAGAGTAGGCCAGGGCGGTCGGATCCACTCTTAAAATAAATCTCCTGCCGAAGACATAGTTCCGGAAGATTCACAGACAGTGGAGGATAGCAAGGGTCTCCCTCTTGAACTGAGAGTAGTTCCTCTCTGTCGTACTGAGAGTCCAACTCTCAAATCGCAAGGGTCTTTCCTTTTCTTCCATGTCTGCCTGTATTAGAACTCCCCCTAAGGCGGTCGGTCCCGCATCCGTTTCGACAATGAAGGGTCGCGTCTCTGTGGCGTCATAATCTGRCRCTCCTAACACCAACCCTCCTTCTCGGAATTCCTCTTTCATTTTTGCCACCACCTCTTCTTGTTCCTCACCCCATACCCATTCCTGATCCTGACGGACTAACTTCCTCAGGTGTTCAGTCTTAGCAGCAAAGTTCTTGACGAAGCCCCTCCAAAATCCACACGTACCAAGGAAGCTCCTGACATCAATTATTGAGTGGAACGGAACTGGCCACTCAGTAATCTTGTCCGTCTTCTTCACATCCGGCCTTCGGCCCTTCTCATTACAGACAATCCTCAAGATAGTCGCTTCCCTCATGCAGTGTCTGGATTTGGCCCCGCTTGCCATGAGGTTATGCTCTTCGAGCAGGCTCAGGACCTTTTCGAGGTCCTGGATGTGTTTCCAGACAAAGCGCCTTACCCCYGGTGAGACTTCGTCGCTCTCTTTCATCGCCGGCCCCTTCACTGTCAAATCATCAATGTATGGCTGTGTGATATGGGGGCTGACTGACTGCATGGCCCGAATCATGGCCCGTTGGACCATTGCTACTGCGTTGGTCCACCCTTTTGGGGCCACGTTCATGTGGACTAATCCTCGCGGCGTGTGCATAGCTGTCACCGGCCTATCCGGCCGGTAGACTGGGAACTGATCGTATCCTGAGTAAAGGTCTATAAGCAAAATTATAGGCCTTCCAGCACAGGATTCCGACAGCGCGTCTGCATTCGACAGTCCTCCAGCATCTCGCACGGTCACTGCATTGAATCTTTGCAAATCCTGCACCTACCGCAGCGTCCCGTTAGGCTTAGTAAAGCAGAACCACGGGGACGCATACGGTCCACTTGAATAGTCGGCGACGTGAGTACGTATCTTGCCGTCAAGATAATCCACCACCTTCCTTTCCTCGTCAGGATTGGGATATCGCGCCCCTCTCATATTCCAAGGCTCGTGTGGCACGGTGTGGATGCGGATCATAGGTATCTTATCTACATCCAGACTGCCACGCTCCTCGTCACTAAACACGTAGGCGCGATGCTTTCTCTTCATTAATTCCACCATCAGCGTTTGCTCCTGAGGCAGCAGGAAATCAGACTTCCCTATGATCAACTCCTTCTCGTTCCCTTCGTTGATACGACATGGCCCTGCTAAAGCACTTTCCCTCATTTGTCGAATCAACCCTCGTTCCCTCTCGTAATATGCTTCTTTGTCCTCTGTAACGAGGACGGGTACTGGGCGGCACTTCTTATCTACCGTCTTGTACCGCCTTTGAGAACCCTGCTTGAGCCGTCCCCTAAARAAGGCCGACTCACAGATTGTGTTTGCGCTGATGCGGGGTTCCCTCYACTGCCTGGGAACCGATATACCAGTTCCAACCTTCCTGCCTCAGGGCATTCCAGAACTTGTTCCCTCAAGTCCTGGATGGCATCCAGATCTGCCATCTCATGCGCGACCACCAGGTCCATGGCCTTCCCAACATCTGACAGGCTGAGGGAAAATACTTCCACCCTCTCTCCTGCTTCGGGTTCTTCCCAGAGCCTCCTGCGCTCCCCTTCCGACTCCTCGATTGTGAGTGATCCTGGATTGGGCCGGTTCCTTATACTCCTTGGCCCGATATTCCTGCAAGTAATTATTTCATAATTTCCGCAGGCAGGATCGCATAAGAGGAGGATCAACGTCCCATCATGTTTGTTGAACATCACGGTCTCTGTCCTGCTTAGGAATTACCTCCCCAGGAGGATTCTATGGTCCACGTCTGGCATTATGAAGAAACATGCCCTGACCTTCACCTTTTCAACCTCGACGAGCACATTCGAGGCTGTCCCGCAAAACATGGCCTTACAGCTGGCTCCATGCAGAATACCGCAGTCAGAACGGTCTATATCCAGCCCGAATCTGATCGCGTCCCCTTCCGAATAATGTTCATCTCTGCCTTGGTGTCCACCATTGTTGCGCACTTGGAACCCTTCACCATCAAATCCACCGTACCGCAGGCTACGCACTTCCAGTCCATCTTCGTACCTGACTCTGCCCACTCTGCCTCCTTGGGCAGGATCGTACCCAGATGGATATTAGGCACTAGGCGCCGTGATAACCTCCCCTTCAGTTCATCGCGGAGTCGCAGGGCTGACGCTAGGATTTCCTTCAGGGTCATGAGGTCATTATGCCCTTCCAATAGCCGGTCAATCACCTTCTCTACATCAAATCCCTCTTCCAACTGGACCGCGTATTTCTTCTTTTTGGGCGGTCCGTCATGTATGACCGGTTCGGCCTCTCCCCTGGTTCCCTTTTTCCTTGCCCGCTGCTCCGCTCTCTGATCCTCTTCTCTGCGCAGCCTCTCATCCTCTTCCTCTTCATCATCGTCGTCCTCTACTTCCACAACCTTTTTCCTTCTTTCTGGTTCGTATTCCCTCCTTGGAGACTCTTGGCTGGTACTGGCCTTGGCTTGATTCCTCGTTCGCGCTGCCTGTGCCAGCCGGGCCTGCGGAGTGAGGGGTCTCCTCCTCATTCCTGGTTGAGGGCACGACCCCACCACATTTACTCCGGGTCGCCTAGGCGCTGACTCCGGGCCGGAGTTATAAAGGAATATTGTGGGGACATTAGACTTCCATTCTTTCACTCCTTCACAGAGGCCTACCAACTCCTGTTGGTACCTCTCCATCTTATCCAGCAAGTCCTCCATCTTCTCAAATAAGACGGACAAAGGCTCCGTTCTTTCCTCCTCATCCTCGTCATCTGACTCGATGATTATGGCCTCTTCCGTCTCACTTCCTCCTCGCAGCCCTTGAGTCACTTCCTCATCGCTCCCCACTTCTTCCACCCCAAATGGTGGTTTCTCCTTTTCCTGCCATAGCCTGAATATGGCAGGGGGTGGTGGCCCAGCTGCCGCTCTTCGTTGGGGTTCAGCCCTCACTCTTCCAAGCCTTCTGTCAATGGCCTCCCCAAACTGATCGTAGATATTCCCATCCATAGTAGAGGAAATCAGTCCGCTTCTCTCGTCTTCCCGTCTTATATTACAGAACCTTATAGTGTGGCTCTGCTGGTCACAATGTTGACAGATGACCGTCCTCCAGTCAAAGTGGGGTCTTCCATACCCCTGACTTCCCTGATCCCCCCGGCCTTGATAGCCCTGGCCTTGGTACCCTTGGGCTTGACTCCCTTGGCCTTGGTACCCCTGGTCTTGACTCCCTTGGCCTTGGTACCCCTGGCCTTGACTCCCTTGGCCTTGGTACCCCTGGCCTTGGCCATTCCATTGCCTTCCTCTTCCGCCGTCATTCCTGCCTCGCCCCTTTCCTCCACCCCTCCCTTCACTGCCTTGATTGCCCTGCCCCTGGTTCCCACCTCCTACAACACTGCCCTGTGAACTGGGATCAGGTGACGGTGGCGGGGCCACAGGTTGGGCCTGGGCCACGGGGTAGATGGGTGGTGGCATACTCGTTTGCGGTCCGGCTACTGGCGGCGTGCTTCCCCATGGCACAATTGCGTTGATCACCGGCCAGGGCCACTGTCCACAGGAGGGCGCCCCACCTTGCGAGGGGCCCGTAGTAGATGATGGAGCCGCCACATTTAAAGGGGCTGCTGCCTGGGCCTGATGCGCCTGCGCTTTTCCTGATCCCTGTCCGCCCTGCGCCAAATTACGCACTTTGCGCTGGACCTTCGTCAGGTGCTGCGACACGGGCTCTTCCTCTTCCCAGAGCTCCTCCTAACCAGCCTCCTCTATCACTGACTCGTTTCCTTTTACTTCAACAGCCGTCACCACCCTCCTTTGCACCGGATCTGTCGCATACCCTAGCTGTGCCAATACGTCTGTAACAATCCTTGTTACTCCTGGGGTCCCAGAAGCGGTCGCATCTCTTTCCTTTCTCTTTTGTCTTTGCAGGAGTACCTGACATTGTTCCACCTGGTCCAAGCACCCAACTTCCACCCCTCTGTCAATGGTGGTCCAGGTGAGCTTAGTGCTACCTCCTCCATGTCTCGTCAATTCAACGGTCTCCGATGCTGTGAGTAGCCCCAGGAAGATGGCGCACTGTGCTTCCTCCGAAATCCCATGGACCTTCCGCGCCCTTTTCTTAAATTTTTGAACAAAGGCCCCTATAGTCGTAAAATCCTCTTTGTTCATCGCTTCAAGGTCCGTGGTAGTCAACAACCCGTCTCCCAGGCGGTATTTCATCTGCATCCCCTCCTTGAACCTCTCCCAGCTACCTTGAGCCGCATCTATGACTTTCTTCACCTCCTGATGGTAGCTGTGGAGGACATACTGAAGGATGCGTTTAAACTTTACAACATCCGGCCGCCCGACCAAAGCTTGTTCCACCCGCTCTAGCCATTCTGAGACTTTCTCCCCACACAAATGGAAAGTATCGACCTTTGGGATGTTGCTCGGGTTCCTTTCATGTCGGTCGATGGCCGCGATGAGGTCATCGAGTGTCAGACCCTTCTTAGGAACAACTGATGCGCCGCCAATCTCAGGCATCTTGACAGCGTCTTCTTTTTAAGTTCCCTGGCAAAAGAAAACAAGCACATCCCCTTTATTCAACACTATACCTTGACCGGTCTATTCTATCCGTCCTACCTAACCCTTAGTACTTACTTTACCCAATGTTAACACGATCGTCCCTCATACTTCCCCTACTTGGGTAGGTAAATTTCCTCACCTACACTTAATCATTCATATATTCCTTCATTACCTTCTCAGCACCCATTTATGCCTTTTCTTATTCACTTCTCATACCCGGATGTCGTTCCACCAGGGACAACGGTAGGCTTTCCGTTATCCCCGGCAACGGCGCGACCTGTCAGGCGCATCGGTCCGGCACCGCACGGGGGCAGCGCGGGACCCTCCCGGCCGCGTCACGCAGGAGTTGGTTTTTAGAACCCTTCGTCGCAATATACATGGAGCTTCCACAAGCCACTCCGGCCGGGTGCGCCAGCCATACCTCTCGCGAGCCTCTACGACAGGATAGGACCTACGCGAGGCACGACTTACCTACACCTTACGGGAGCTGTCATCTCCCTTCGGTGGGCGTATCCCCGCCGAGCTACCAGTCCACAGTACGAAAGTTAATCAGTTGCAATCGCAGAGGTGGACCAGCCGAGGGCGTTTCTCATTCACTGTAGCATAGGGGGTACGCGCGGTAATACGCCTCTATCGGACCCGCACGCGAACGGACATCTTGGGGGGGTTGAGGTCCCAAGCGAGACTCATCGTCGGCCGACTAGGACGCATCCCACACACCACACGCATTCCACTTTACGAACACACATACACACAAAACAACATATATACGAAACGACACAATACCAACAACGCGACAACGCTCCTAGCCCCTCGGTAGCCAACCCATAACTTCCCAATGCGGAAATCGGATAGGCGTCGCGGGCTTAACTTAGTATAAAATCGCGCGGACGCAGGGCATACTCACGTCGACTTGCAATGCAGGCATACACAAGCAGTCGCAACGATGGCGTACTATGTAGTGTCCATAATCAAGCGGTCCCTCATGGATCCGAGTACCGCTTATGACACTCAAGTGTCAGACTTGAAGTGTCGTGAGGGCCTAACCCTTCACGACATTGCACGGCTGAAGGAAAAGTCGTGCAGCCGCCGCTGCACCTTAGGCTCTCGACCTGAGTGTCTCGGTAGGTAAATCAAATAGGCTCTTCGCGAGGGAAAACCCTTCCCTTGCAGAGCCTAGGGCTTGGGATGTCCTGGACAAAGACCTGGAATCCCGGTCCAGGACCAAACGTCCGACTAAGAAAATCATCAAAAAGCAAGAGACAAGAATAAAAGGAGAGACCTCCCCTAAGCCCCTCAGTCTCAGCTTCTGAGCGGGCTTTAATGTGGGGGCTCTTCAACCCATGCAGACATTCATCCCAAGTATACCCATGTATACATATATAAGGGTTAAATATGTGGCGATCACTTCTCATGGTTTCGCTGGGGTCTCTCACAATAATACGTATATGTGTGATCGTAGGCAACCAAATTCAGAATCTGGTTCACAGCACATACCTGTCGTCACATCAACGAACCAAATCAACAGCCCACACACTACACGGAGTCAACCCCAACC